AGACCACGAGATTCGGATAACCCCAACTGGTGCTGGTATCATAACCAGTAAGAGAAGTCTTCTAGAAATTTCAGGAATCGCTGAAATTACCCGAACTCCAAGTCGACCGACACGAAAAGATTTTGAGAAACCTCCCAGACGGCAAGCATTGACGATAACCGTAGCCAGCGAACATAGCCGTCTGTTATACGTCACAGATGTAACCACAAAAGTCCGCTACCTCGTCGACACTGGCGCAGAAGTAAGCGTTTTTCTAGCTAATTCCAACGACAGACTTCGCTAATCTGTTTTAAGTTTACAGGCGGCGAACGGAAAACCGATTGCTACATATGGTAAAAGGTAGGTTTACCTTAACGTGAGTTTACGCAAACCCATCCACTGGATTTTCGTTGTTGCAGATGTGTCTATGCCAATCATTGGTATAGTCCTGTTGTGGTGTGGTCTACTTATACCTATATAAGTAGTATATGGTGTGGGTCAGACATAGAATGTATTTTGGCAGAAGACCGATGAGGAAAGAACTGAAATGAAGCGCAATCGTCTGGAAAATTCATTAGCAATTGAATAAGAGAAGAAACAGTGAAGATTGAAACAATTGGTTGTTAATTTGCAAATTGACTGTTCATTGTTTAATTATCGGAATTTACTGATATAGTCTGTAACTTTTGCTTAAATACATTCGATTGTCCCCAGTCGTGTTCTGTTCACTACACTGTTACAATACCACAATCTACTCATCGACACACGCTCACGAAGGTTAATAGACGGAAACACTAGGTTATCTGTTTTTTGCAGATTATCCCCAGTCACGATTAAACACACCATAGACCCCTTGTACCAATCAGTACTCGACAAATACCCCGGGATATACCAATCGCAATCGAAATTGCCTTGTGTAACCAGCAATGTTGCACATCACATTTCGACTACACGACCACCTGTATTCTCAAAAGCACACCAACTGGCTACCGAAAAGCTGAGGTTGGCTAAAAACGAATTCGACCACATGATAGAGTTGGGAATCATTCGGCCGTCAAACAGCCCATGGTCATCTCATTCGCACATGGTCTCGAAAAAGGAAGGCAGCGATTGGCGCTCGACTGGTGACTATCGGCGTCTGAATGCAAAAGACATTCCCGATCGTTACCAGTTGCCCCACATTCGACAGCTACCTTGAAAGGTACAAATGTCTTTTTCGAAAATCGACTTGGTTAAAGCCTATAATCAAATCCTAGTGGCTATTGACGATATTCCAGAAACCACTATCATCACTCCCTTCGGACTGTACGGATTTTAGAGAAAGATTTCCAGTCTAAGAAACGCTGTCTAAACCTTCCAAATGTTCATTGATGATGTTCATTGAGGTCTCGATTTCGTACATACGTATGTTGATGACAGCTTGATGGCAAGTCCAGACAGATAATCCCATCTCCAGAATCTGGACATTGTGTTCGATCGACTTCAAAAGCATTTAATTACTGCAAACACTCAGAAATGTCAAATCGCAACCGACTCCGCAGATTTGCTAGGACACACTTCTGATGCTCAAGGCATCCGACCTCTTAAAAGCAAAGTAGTAGCCATTCTCGATTACCAACAACCGACCGCCATTAGGCAGTGACTCGCATTTAAAGGTCTTGTAAGTTTCTGTAGACGGTTCATACGAAATTGTGTCTCTCATGTAACTGCTAACCGACCAACTTCGTGGAAATGCAAAATACATAAATCCGGAAGACACCGCGCGAAAATCATCCTACACAGTTAAGGAACATATCTAAAAGCGACAATGCTGGCATGTCAGAACACTCATGTGTTCATTACTAAAGCAGTAGACGGATCCGACAGTGCAATCGGAAGATGCCAGAAATCTAAAGTGATTGTACACAACAAATCACGAGTTTCCAAACAACCACCTACCGCCCACAAGTCAACAAATTGGTTTAACGATTTCACCGACAATTAAAAGCTTCACTCTCAGCTGTTAAAGCTTCACAGTGAACTGACGCTATTCCATTCGTTTTATTCGGTATTCACAATGCAGTGAAAGCCGTCATTACATACACTGTAACTCAACTCGTTTATGGAACGACACTTAGCCTTCCAGAAGAATTCGTGGATTATTTGTCTTCTTCACTGGACAGAGATCTAAACTCCTGAACGAGCAGGCCTACAAACGCAGTGAGTTCAGTTAAGCCTGTTTTCATCCGACCGCAACCAACTCATATTTTCGTTCAACCTACCGTACGACATTAGTACGCACGTTTTTGTTCGTCGCGACTCACTTCGATGACCTCTCAAAACAACACACGAAGAACCCTTCAAAGTCCTTCTGCGTGAATCTAAGTACTGTATAGTCGATAGGAACGGAACTAACGATGGCATCAGCATCGATCGTTTTAAAGCCGCGTATTTAGAAGAAAACCCTATCCACGTCGATTTTCCTGTGGTGCAATGGATAGACACGAGTTTCCCAATTACATTACCTCATCCTGCAACCAACAATCACGACGAAACCTCGTTGATACCTGACAATCGACTTAAAACAACTCGTTGTGCAAGAAGAGTAAGATTTCCAGAACATCTAAACGATCGCTGCACGTAGAACACCACATAACACATTTTCGTCTTGATTTTTTTGTATTGCGACAAAAAAGTCTATTTTTAATATGCTCATATAGATATTTGATTTTCTTATCCCAAAAAGTAGGTCTTTTTGTTGCTTATATGTGTAAATTTTTTTTCTAAGAAAAGCCGAAAATTCACCCGCAATAATAATTCGTACGCTATCGTATGTTCACGAAAAGCATTTATATGAGTTTATTTGCATTTTTCGCCGGTTTTGGGTCTTCACACATGTACGGGTAAATTTCGACATGCATTGCCTCACCCTTTATTCATGTTTATGACATCGGGAAACGATAAAGACTGAAGAAATCTGCGATTAATCACAATTTTTGAAGAAACCCGAAATGGTTTCTTCACAGCACTTATGTACCCATAAGGTGTTTGTGAATAATAATAATAATAACATTGAAGCCGAGCATATAATTACTGAAAAAAATTGTATTCGACAATTTGATAAGAAAGGAAGTTTGATGATAGAGAACGTGGGAACATCAATTTAATTCATCGAATGACATGGCTCAGCCTTGTGGACGTGGTCTTTCCTGTATGTTGTATTATCTCTTATTCATAGTGAATATATTGTTTTATCTCGAGCCTAAATGTGTTCTTTAGGAACGCTAAACACACGGCTAATTGTAACGATACAATAAGTCAGTGTAGAAAATGATGTAACTTCCACGTAAGATCTTATAGATTTGGTAGTCACATCGGGACAAATCTACAATTTTAGGATTGGGTCTATTTTTAGAGTGGTACTAACAATTAGCCTAGGCCACAAATCAATATTGTGAAGCCCGACTACAGAAACTCATTTAATAATGAGTCCTCATTTTCACTTTAACTTTCTCGAACGATTTTTACTTATGTTAACCCATCATTCTATTAGCCGTCTGATTGATTCTCGTATGTATTATAGTATTGTAATGTTAGTTAGTGCTCATAACTTACTGGCTCAGTCGATACTAATGACTGGTCATCTATATTAATCGTAAGCTACTATGGTTCATTGAAAAGCTTTAATAGCACATACATGCTTCAATAAATAAACTTGTTAGAACATCAAGTTCTAGCAATGTGGCCTTTAAATGACGTAAATAGACATTGACCAACAACATCAGCGAGAAGGGAATGGTTGCCTGAACCTAATTCTTCACATTGTTAATTCGCTTAACGTTTCACACTTTTTTAAACGTCAGACTATCCTGTGATATCTTTTCTTCCGACCACTTCATGCCTAATTTTCAATTCTCGAGTTTTATTGACAAAGGACGGAAACAATACTCTAAAAACACACAGTGAGTTTAGGCTATAATTTTCTGCAATCATGAGGTCATTTTAGATGGTTCAAGCAATGAAAGCCACGTAATTATCTGGATTTATTCATTTGTTCTAAATCGAAGGTCAACAGCACCAAGCACACTGAAATTAGTTGCAATACTGCGTGTTTAATCTGGTTATTTTTGGATCATTACTACTCGTTGCAAATGGCCTTTTATAAGCCATATCTATGGAATTGATGATGCAAAGGCTGTTCTAATTTTACAACTAGTTACCAGTAGCACCTTCTATGTTCGATCGTTCCCAGTCAGATAGAAATCAGAAGTCAGACGAGAAGAGGCAGGAAAGATATATTTGATTCGTTACCAATATATCGAGGACCTTTTCTATGAGCTGGCTAATGAAACGTAGGAGCTGTGTCCCACGCCGTGTTGAAACGTGATCTGGTGCGGATGCATGACCGAAAGCCTTCAGCTAAACAAGTCCACTTAAACAACGTGGTCAGCATCCAATGTCGAACACTTAATGAGCTATTGATTTTGGGGAATTATTTACAGCTACAGAATAATCTAATTCCAAAAGTAATCCAGCCGCGTTAAACCACTTCGTTTGATGGTTTACTGTTTTTGTACTTAATGTGTATATTTTTTCACGCAGACTGGCCTTATATAATTCATACAAAACAAATTACAAAACGTTTGTTGTATAAGATATATTTAATGGCCTCATAAGACAACATGCTACTATGGGAAAGTGTGTTGTCTACAGACAAAGCGTATTGGATTCAAACATAATTTGACATTTCCTGGTTCCAGTTACCTTTGACACATGTTTATAAATGTTACCAGGCTAACAACAATAACTTTGCATGTAACGACTATATTGTAACACACAAAGCGTATAAGTGTTGATACACAAGGTCGTAAAAATAATATATATGCGTGAACTGAAGGTTACGATGTCCTGTGAAAAAAATGGTTGTCATGATAGTGAAAATGACGCAATGTCTAATGTTGTTCGAGTTATTAGTGTCTGTTCGAAAGCCAAGATTAATCATTTAAGTGTGTACCAGTAATCTACTTTATAAGTTCAAAAATCAAGACCATACAAACTACCGGTAGCATACATGTTCTCCAACCGAGTAATCAACTCTTGTAGCCTACTACTGGTAGAGGTGGTGTCCATAATTTCAAATGATTACTTCAAGATAACCCTGGATACTCAGAAAAGCCTAACAGAAAAAGACTATCAAAGACAGGCGCCCTTCTGTCTTTTGTACACATATATGAATTCAACGTTATGGCGGGATAGTCAACGTAAACGTTTGTAACATTAGCAACACGGTAATATAGGAACGACCTTTAATTTGAAGTTGTAAATTAATTGATCAGCCGGTTCAATACGTTTAATTGGACAGTTTCAGTTAGTTAGAAGCTAACCGAGCTGAGGATATACACGTATCTCATCGCGGGATTTATTTCAACGGCAATTCCAGCCAACTGATTGAGTTGTTCACTACACGTTTCTTTGAAGACAATGACTGATAGCAATGAGAAACTTAAACAAATGGAGGAGGAAATGGATAGGTATCCAGTGTGAAACAGTTTAATTGGTTTTTGAATATAGATTCGAGGCTGAGATTGCTCATCAGTCATCAGGTCAGACACCAAATAATATTCCAATCTCTGGCGGATTTACTTTCCCTCCTGTTACTAGCTTTATGCCTCCCCAGTTGCGTGTGCATCAAAACCCGACCAATGTCGTGCAGCCAGTTTATTCGGGTAATTATAGTTTATATTATAAAGTGTTAGTTTACAAAATCCCAACCATAAAATTAATAGCAAACGGAGAGTGCTTTTCCATAGTAGCATTTTGCTGTACACCAAAGAGAATTTGTAGTGCCCAGAAGTTTACAAGAGCAAGTCCTTGAAAACATTTCACTCCTCACCTCTGTGCATTTTTTTCGCTGACTATGGACTGCTCATTTGGTAAATCTAACACAAAAAGTGGTTACACACATGTATCACTGAAGGTAACGGAAAAAATTCTGATCATGTTTTCTTGATTAAGTACCTATACTGTCTGTTAGTTAGACTCTCCATATATATATATATATAACCCAAATTAAATAGTTAATACAAAGACGCAATATAGTACAGTCGATTACTAAGAGAACAATAACCACGCCTACCGAACACTAACAGGGACTCAACAAGACAAACCAATGACAGTGCTAGTGATTTTCGTACAGAACAGGTTAAATTCCATGATTGGTGGTTAAGCAAAAGATAACAACCAGTCTGAGAATAAAAGTCCTGAATATTAGACATTTAACTCAGGTGTTATTGGTTGATTCACTCTTGTCAATTAAGATCGGCGGTCGGTGACTATTAATTTAACAGAAGAAAACACAATCTTAACATAAACGCAACGTCTAAAGCACTCATGTCATTCGGTTATCGGAGAAATAAATGTATTACTGCATTATCTTTTGACTAATAAATTATAAGTCTGAACTCTTTGTTGTACTCCATTTTGGATCTCTTGTTGGTGTCAGGTGCCCTCACAACGGAGTGGCTCAAAACCAAGGATTGAAGGTTTCCCAATCTACAATTTCGTAGTGTAGTTTATTTACCAGGTAAAGGTTTATACACTTGGTTTCGAGGATAATTTACTTGTGTCGGAGTATTGATTCTATTCAATTGCTCAAGCCCATTTAAGTGGGGTGGGAGTCGGTAATGTGGATTTATAACTCCGAGGTGTGGATTCTACTTCGAGTTTGCAAACAGTATTCTCTTACGGCATGATGGTGTACTCGTTACTCAAATCGCATATGACTTGTTAGTGAACTAGAATTATGAGACATACTGTACACCATTAAAATAAAAGATGAATCTGCTAGATTAAAAAGAGCCTGCGCATGCATCCAATCTTAGTTTATTATCCATTGGCATCATTAGAAAAAGGTCGTATTCTGACGACGCAACAAACAAAATCAACCTGTTTAGTGAAATCCTAGTAGGCGTATGCTGATCTATGCCATATACCTACCTTCCTTAGATAATGTCCTCGGAATTATCTCAAACTGCCTGAAAGCTTACTACAAATTAGAGTGACTGGTTTCTTTCCCTGTTAGCGGAACACAGATTGGATTAAAACATGTTCCGTGCACGATTGCATTGGCGCACGTTGATTGGCTAATTCTTATCCGATCAGCACTAGTCGTTACTTTGAGAAGACTAGAACCTTCTCGTGTAATAACTATAAATATACTAACGTTTTTCTTATTGTGCTTATTACTTCCATCTACCCTTGTTATTCGGAATATAACTTCTTCCCTGTTCAACCGTGTTCTGATTTGGGGACTTTTCGAGTGAATTAGTGTTCAAGAAAACTAAGCAATAGAAATAGCTGGGTCGTGATAAGAGAAAATATAACATTCTCGAAACCCAATTTTTTCATGGATTTTTGGTATTACTTGTACGAGAGAACATTTAGAATGGACGTTATCAATCATAGCTTTGAAAATTATATCTCACCGATTTGTGTTTTGTCTGGTTACTATTGTATGAGTGAACTAACTCCTGAAGTTCATAGTTACTGCCAAGTGTTACTAATCGTAAAAACTGTGTTTATCAACTGAACGATATATTTTAGTTTTCTTGAATTTAAACCGTATGAATCAATAAATACACTGAAATGTCCTACTATCATTTTTAGAGTCGGAGTTTAACATGTTCTCAGCAACTGTTTAACTTTTCTTTTACAGTCTTACCACTGCCTCCCGGGGTTCCCATGTTTGTCCCCCTATCCCAACCTCCTGTGTCTTGCTACCATATGAATGTCGCCCACACGCAGTTACCGCCATCAAACCCTGTTTTTATGCCTTCAAAGGCATCTAATATGTCGATCCCAACGTCAAAAGTGGAAATGGCTCCCGTTTCATCAGTTAACAAAGAGACCGTTAGTGAACTTAACCCAACTCAAAAAGTTATAACTGCTCCACCACAAATGGCTGGACCAAACGAGTTAGCGGCACGAGCTAAACAAGCTGCTGCGGCGGTCGCAGCTGCCAAATCTAAAGCTGAAGACGAAGACGATGATGTTACTCGAGCATTGCTAGCTGCGGCAGCGGGAGTTACTTATACTCGAGTCCAGGGGCCGGATGGAAAAGGCAAGTCCATTACAAATGCTACGTAGTAATTTTATTTTATTGTTACTTAAACATAGTTGCCATTAGATTTGTAGTTTCATTTTTGAAACTGGTGCTTACGACATACAATGTTATACTTTCCCGCCATCTAAACAATTTTATGAAGTCAAGTTAGTATTAATCATGAGAGTTGTCTAAAATATAATAACTGATAATTTTATGTTTAGCTCTCACAATAAAATGAGACTTTTTGAATTTTTAAACAAACTCATTTAATATTGTTTCTTGGCATTATTAAAATGAAAGTTCATCACCAGGTTAAAATTTACTACTGTACAATTAAGTACTAGACTAAAAGATAAGCGTATATATTAATGTTATTAACAATTAAATGTAGTATGTGTCATGGGGTTTTTCCCTACGTGGTTACCTGACTCATTTTGTGTTATGTTTGAGGCGATTACAAGTTCCCTGATCTGAAAACGGAAGAAAGAGCCTGACCAAAGTCCAACAAGCTAGGTATTCCTAAGTGTCCCAGCCTCGCTAACTAGAGTAAGAAGTCCAAGCCCGAAGTTGGGAAATATTTTCCACAAGCAGTCGCAATCCATCTAATCGGAAATACATTTATATATTGGTTTGTACACCCATTTTCGATTAATAATCAAGATGATTCACACAAGAATGTCGCATCGTATACAGAATAAAAGGTTGTAGGATAAAATGAAACAAATACTATACTGAGTGATCATCAAATTGAATTAAACGGAACTAATGTTGAATAAATATCACAATGAGTAAATCAATCTAATTTTGATCTTTCATCCCGTCATAACATTTTGATTAGCTAATGATTCTTTGCAGCTACTGATAGAAGCTTTCATCTTATATTCCCATGGCTAAGTGGAAAATAAGGTACCCTAAGCAAATATTTCTTATCCAATTGTATAACTGTTTTTGATCTCTGATTTAATCTCAATCAAAATATATTGAATTGCATTTCATCTAAAAAAGGTACCCATCTTTTTTCACTCGGAGTAACACCTTATCTGTAACATAAACAAAGACCAGATCCAGACCCTACTCACATTGCAGAAAATTTCCTACCAACAGACGTCACACTTATCAGATCATTTTTAGTCTTCTAATCTATTAGGTCATAATCATGCCCGACTCTAATGCATACGTGCATCTGAAGACTATCTGTCTTACAGTTAATAAGCGAGTCTGTCGAGTATCGACAATGGTTGAACAGGTTAACGTCACTGCCAATTTTTTTATGTTATACTCCAATATCATGGCCTAACTCTTAAAACGGTCGTTGCTGTAAACTACTTTGTTCATCTTATCAGCGGGATTTTCACGAAATGCTGCCCGAGGAGAAGTTTAATTTATTTGCTAATTTTCGATTTCAAGAAGAGTATCCTATTTTCATACTACAATTACCTCCTCAAACCTGTAGTAATATTAATTGTAAAGTTACATTTTTTGACAAACGACTAAAATCTAACATACCCTTCCATGGGACAAGTAGAATAATTATGCTATGGACAAGTAATTTACGTTACTCCATTGACGTTTTCATAGTTACATTCTACTGTTGTTCATTGGTATATGTTTATATCTCATATTTAACATTTCTCAGAAAAGGTTTTAGCAAGTATCACTAAACCTCCGCTGACACCAGTTGTTACACAAACGAGTAAAAAATCAAAGGTAAACGATCTCAATACAGATGCGGAAGCGAACAAAGTAACACAAACAACAGTGCTACCACCAGTACCACCTACAATTTATCGTTCTACCAGTACAACTACAAATGATCAGGTCTATAAAAAGAAAAAGTATATTCGCACAGCTGCTGGAGCCATTTGGGAAGACCCGACTTTGGTTGAATGGGATCCAAGTAAGTGGTGCTTATCTTATTTACTTAACATGTAGTGTATGCATTTTATCTTTCTGTACTCATCAGCCCAATTTATACAAACAGGAGTGTTTGTAGCAAGACATTTACTAAATAGTTTCATCTTCATGATGTATTTAGATAATAACTAGTCTTATGTAACAGAGTGGCTTATTTACTCAAGATACAATTGGATTCAGTCAGTCATTCAGTTACAACGTAAAACTTCGTACGTCAGTCCGTGTTGCCATAAAATTGGATTAATGTAAGTCAAACATAATGCATGGGCTGTAGGTAAGCAATGTAAAGTTACAAGTGAAAAGTTAAGTATTTTAGGGCAAACAGTCAACAAAATGTAGAGTTATACTCTGATAGGCAGTTTTGGCCAGCAGTGATTACATTCAGTGTGATGGCATGAACAACTTTTTCTGTTGGAATATTTATGAGACGGTAACCATGTAAATCTTTAGTGATAATGTATTCTTCGAATTATGCAAAACCAGTAGAATGTTTTTGCCTAAATGTCATTCTCTAAGCTGAATGGTTTAATCATGCAGCTTTCGTTGTTCTTTTAAACAACATTAGCAGCACAAACTTCAGGTAAAAGTGCAGCATTCGAATTTTTTCACATATGACCAACAACTTGTCCTGCCGACGTCGATCGGTTATTGTTGTCACTGTCTGCATCTTCATTTTAATTGCCTCTCCCTTCTTGGTCTATGATTTTTTCAACAAGTTGATTAATTGAATCGATTTCGATGTGTTTGTTGATTTATCTGAGTGTCAAGCTTCTAAACATTTTGTGGTGTTCTTAGTATTTGGTTGGTCACCAGAACCCACACAAGAAAACTGGAGACTCAGGTTGTCAACTACAGCAGGAACCACCCAAGAACTCACAAAATCAATTGCGTACAAGGGTTATTCAAAAGGGCGAAAACATATAGCAGCACACCTGCAGCACGGACAAATAAAGGAAAATATCTAATGAATATCCTTCGAAAGAACGAACACCCACAAAGCCTCATCAAATGATATCAGTCTAATTCATCAGTAAAAGCGAAATTAAATACAGAGACTAACAAACGTATCGTCTTACCAAATATAAGGGATATGTTAAAAACTACAACAAGATCATTGAAGCTATGTGAAATAAGTGTACCACATAAACCAGCAACATCACTTCAGCCAGTCTTAGGCAAACCAAAGGATAAAATGACATCATCCACATAATAGACTGCTCTAACCGCGGTAAACACAACATTGTACAAGGTTAATGCCGTCCTAGCTTTTGCCTGCACGAACGGTCGAACGTCGTGTTATGTATTTGCTCATATCAATTTATATGGACAATTGTGAACATACATTCGAGTGAGAAAAGGGAAAAATCTTGGGTAAAGGAAATACTAAGAACACCACAAAATTTTTAGATGCTTGACACTCAGATAAATCAACAAACACATCGAAATCGATTCAATTAATCAACTTGTTGAAAAAATCATAGACCAAGAAGGGAGAGGCAATTAAAATGAAGATGCAGACAGTGACAACAATAACCGATCGACGTCGGCAGGACAAGTTGTTGGTCATATGTGAAAAAATTCGAATGCTGCACTTTTACCTGAAGTTTGTGCTGCTAATGTTGTTTAGAAGAACAACGAAAGCTGCATGATTAAACCCTTCAGTTCAAAGAGCGAAAATCTACTCAGATCATCCACGTAAGCTACGACTATTTCATATAATCTCACAGTAGATCGTATAAGCCTATCAAAAAGTTTAATTTATTAGTTGTTTGACTAACTCTGATGAAACTTATATTAAATGTAAATATTCGTCAATATTTTAACCAATAGTTTTACAAAAATGGAGTACCGAGTTTATGGAGGATATTATTCGTTAAAATTATACTGGAAATAATCTCAGCGATTAAAAGAATGTATAGCATCCTGCAACTAAATCTACACTGATGTTTTATCCATTAATGTTCAGATGTTGATTTTACTGAATAGAAAAAAGAGTCAATAAGATATCAATAATGTGAATAGTTCTATGGTGATTGGAAGTATTCGAATTATTGTGCTAAGAATTTCCGAAATAGTGCAATTTAAGGCAGGTACAACTAGATGAAAACAAATGAACATATTATATTTGGAATTCATAATCAGCGCGCAATCAAGTACAAAGAAATCATTAGTTAGTACAAACATCAAGATGCTCACAATGTGAAAAAGAATGAGTGCGTATATGGAACTTGATACTGCTATTAGTTAAGGTTTGGTAAAAAAAAATCCAATTTATGCTACTACCAACGATCGTCTTTTTTAGTAAAAGTAAAAATAATAATACGAATTGAAGTATTTCAGAACGTCAGTGTATGTAAAATGAGATATTAAATACACAGTTGTGATTTTAAAACAATCAGACTAGTTTTTTTGTCCTAATATGGCAAACCTATATATGCTTTGAAAGACTAAAAAGATAAACAAATGGGCTTAAAACCCACTACCTAGCTGAAAAGATAAAGAAAACTAGCAATTTGTAGGACAACTGTCCTCTAACGCATAAATTTTTTTTCATTTGGCTTCCAGATGACTTCCGATTATTTTGTGGGGATTTGGGAAATGAAGTAACAGATGACACTCTAGCACGAGCGTTTAACCGCTACCCTTCTTTTCAAAAAGCAAAAGTTGTTCGAGACAAACGTACCAGTAAATCTCGTGGTTATGGTTTCGTTAGCTTTTCTGATCCTGGAGATTTCACTCGCGCCATGCGAGAAATGAATGGTAAGTTATAATCTATTCTCACTAAGCTATATACAAATTGTCTGTTCTCTCTGAACACTTATCTTGATCGATCAAATAAAACGACAGATTGTGCTTGCAGTCCCGTACCAATTAATAGATGCTAAATCGCAAAAATAACTTCAATGGTGGAACATACTTTGCTTGTTTTCTTTAGTAGATGTGTAGTAAACAGAACACGAGTTGGGGACAATTCAATGTAGTTAAGCACAAATTACAGACCATCTCACTAAATTCTGATAACCATACAGTAAACAGTTAATTTGCAAAATAGTAACCAATTGTCTCAATTTTCACTATTCCTTCTGTAAATATCAGTTCCTCTTCTCTTATTTCATTGTTCATCCATTTTCGTACCGATTGCGCTTCATTTTTGTTCTTTCCTTATCGATCTTCTGTCAAAATACATTCTATGTGTGACTATCACCATATACTACTTATATGGATACAAGTAGACCACACCACAGATGTATGATAACATCTCGAAAAACCTCTTTATTATTGATATGCATTGCCGAACTCTGCATCAGTAGAAAACCACATGATTTTCACCATGTGTATGATAAACTTGTGGTTTGTATTTTGTATATTTAATAGCAGAGAGATGCTTTCTACAGCTATTATCGTTATCTCACAAGCGGTGTTTTTCTCTTATCAACTCAGTAAATACAGCTTATTTGGATGTTACTCAGAACGGACGTGACTTGGAAAGATGATACGTCACACACAAATACCGGTTCCTATTGCTACATCTTATAGAAACATACGTAAAAAAAGTAGAATAAGATCATCGCAGAATAATATGATTCCCGATATTTAGACAAAAGATCTATTTCAGCCAGTCTCGTAACACTAATAGTGATAGAAAGCAAATCAGGCTTCTATCCCAAAACTGCATTGCTTATTTGATTTTAATTAGAGTAACCAAACTTTTAATGCGCTTTCATCAAAACCAACTTATCAATCTCCAATTTTATTTTCGATAGGAATCACGGAAAGTGATAATCGTAGTAAAAAACTGGAAAGAGTATTGGCTACGTTTGTGAAATATAACCTATACGAAAGTAAATGAAGGAATTCACATTATTTGTCACTACACGAATTCAATCAGTCATAAGTAACGTAAGATCTGTGGCGCATAACCTCCAGACGACATTAGTACATAACCATACAAATTACTGCATCTAAAGAATAAACAATATATGTAGAGTTTTCAAAGTATCAGATTAAAAAGTCTTCACGAGTAGAAACGGCGTATACTCTTTGTTTGCAGGATACTCTCGAAAAACACTCCGATCTGTTAAGTTAACATAATCGCCTTATAGTTAGATGCGCAATCTATAGCGGCAAATGTGCTATCACGTTTGAAAAATTTGCAATGAAAGGGAACTTTAATCAAATAAATATATATTTCCCGTACCACTTCGTAGCAATTGGGTTATAGTTGTCAAGATGCGTACCATTTTCTCCTAGTGATCTTTTGAATGAAAAAACCCAGGCTCTGTACATTGTACTTTAGTTATGTACAGTTTCTTCTAAATATCCATTTTATTTGAGCGGGAACTGTGAGTCAATGTATTTTACAGTTTCTATGCTATTTTATACTGCTTTTGATGACTGAGGTACACCTCTGAACGAAACGCGCATGTAGACTTCGGTTTAGCTTCAATTCTCAGACAGTATGGGACCTTATGTCGTAAAAATCTTTTCGACTGATTGCTTGCGATATTTACAATACTAAAACAACAAAATTCTTGTAGTGCGTCTCTGTGGGCAAATCACAGTATTAATTGTTAGAAACTTGCAACCATATGAAAGTTTGAAGCAACATCGTTTTTTTTCTGATACAGGCGTACTGTCAACATGATGGTTTCTGAAACCTGTTTTTTTGGCTACTCTAGGTAAATATGTTGGTAATCGTCCAATCAAACTGAAGAAAAGCGAGTGGCGTAATCGTCAACTGGAAGTCCATAGAAAAAAGGAGAAAGAAAAACGAAAACTTGGTTTAAAGAACTGATTTTTTTTCACCAAATCTCATTAAATTTATTCTGTGAATATTTTCCTACTTTTGAAATATAAAGCCTCAAAATAATCATGTCATTTCCCAATATTATTTCTATCATTGTTGCAAATGAAACCTTGTCCTTTTTATGCTGATAGAGTTTACTAGCCCAGACGAGTTTTGTTGAACGTTATCTTCTGAGGCATTAGAGATTATACGATTGAAGTAGGTTTCTAGAAAGAACTTTATAAAGTAAATTACATTATTTAATCGAAACATATAAGTTGTTTCTACCCATCCAAGATACTAATCAAACCGTTTGTATTGGTGTTTACTGTGGTAGGACCACCTCTTTGATGACCGGAATGATTTTTTTAGCTGCTAATTGATTCTAACCTTTACTTTTCTACCAGAATGAACGTGTGTAGTTTATCATCACGGCTATTAAAATTAGTGGTAGTAGTAAGTGTTCTATGCTGCCACACAACTACTATAACGTTTTAATGATTTGCTGATTTATTTATTTTAAAATATTGGTACGAAGGGGCACCGAATACATATGCACCACACAAGTCACTTGATTAGTGTGTGGGCTGCAATACTGCCCAAACGGAGGCAGGTGGTTTTCTTAGGGGCCACACTCGGATCCTTCGACCTAAAGGTCTGGTCCATAAGGCAGTGGAGCAACGCCAGAAGATGCAGTCCCATGGTAGTCGGTGATCAATCATTGATCTATACGCCATTTGTCCCCTTAGGATTCTGGATGCCATGTGCACCATTGGTTTGCAACCAGGATTTTACAACTCTCTCCTAGGTGGATTCCCCATATCTGCTAACGCGGTTAAATAGCCGGACATTCGATTTCATGAAAAGCACCCCCCGCCACGAGAAGGTAGTGAGTAGGACTTTCCTGAGTGGCTGTATACGCGTGTTCATGTGAGAGCATGTCGAAAGAACGAACTTTCCCAACCTCGGCCGTACGATGGAATTTCACAAAGCGTGTAGTGTACACTTAAAGTGCACTAAGTGTGGTTCTTTAGAGTGTACCTGACCGATTCTTGATGAGTATATCCCACTTATTAGTTGTTATATTCTGCAGGATGGTGGAAAATCATAGTAATTAGAACAAAGTTAGAGTGTGTACTACCATGATCTTGCTTCACTAGCTGCGTATTAAATACCCAGAAATTCTACACACTCTAATATATACAGCTGCAAGTAATCGTTGCTTTACAGCTGATTTCTTACGCGTTGTGTATATAAGCATCTGCGAAGATCCAAGGGGATTTTGCACAATGTTTTTCCATTAATGAATTCATAAAAACTTAGCACCTATCTTGATATGATATACGAGAAAATCAAAGTGCTAAATTACTGCGCCTTTCGGAGCCACGCTATGTGAGAGCACAGACTACTTCAGAAGCGACTATTGTTCATGAATTTCACAAGAAAACGCAGCGATTTAAGATGGTGTACATCTTAACTTCACATGTAGAAAATTAATAAACTAGATAACGTCGCAGTTTAATAATCTAAAAATGAATAGGTTAAAGTGACGCGAAATGTCTGAAAGTACTTGTGGGGTACGTGTATACGTTGAGTTCGTTTTCAACCACGCCAGTGCAGTCTTCAATCACTTTTATATTACCCTTAAGATCACAAATATAAAATACAGCTGTATGTGGTTTCATAAATCTGTGCCATCTATTTTATGCCAGCCGCTTCTTTTTCAGTCTACTTATGTTTAATTTATAAGAACTTTCGTCTAAATTAGAGTGAATAGTTTCACAGTATTTGGGCGCCGAGTTGATGTAAGATATTAAATAAGTAGAATAAATTTATAAAATCTCAGCGAATGGATTTGTATTATATGTAATTTGATGTAACAATTGGCTAAGTCAACTTACAAATTGACTTGGTGTGCCAAAAAAACAGCAATCGGTTACAAACATAGAAATTTAATTAAAAATCAATAAGGGTTTTTAATCTGTTTTTAATCGCTTTTCGTTAGCAACTTGCAACCGTTTAGATTGAATTATTAAACTGTTGATCTGTAAAACAAGGAGTAGCTAATTTGAAAAGTAAATAGGAATAAGCGAACTTACAACAATTAGTAGACTGTTTAAAATAACAGGAATGTTCCAAATACAAGAAATGAAATATCCATAACTATCAAAATATTGCTCAGTAGCGAACAAGCTAGAAAGGTTAAAAGACTTGCAAATGGTTGTTACTTCCAGTTATTAGCAGCGAATTCATTAATCCAGTGTGAACACCAAACAGTGCCAACTAAGTTATGAACAACTATACATAAAACCTTACGGGAAATAAGCAAAATACACAGCAACAAATTTGTATATTTGCGGAAGGCAATTACACACATGGTTGTGAGAAAATGAAATCCAATTAGTGAAATTAACCACAGTTCACTGGTCCATGGTATCTAAGTAGAAAATCATAATATGAAATTTACAGACCGAAAATATAGTTCCATATATAGTATTTACAGTAGGGTTGGCTGTAGTGTCAAGGAATTGAAAACTGAAGTTCATTTGTTATAATTGGACAGAACCCTTAGATCTGCAAATCTCTAAAAATTAGGAATAACATAAACGGTGAGAATCATAATTCAGTAGTTACATTCACGTGTCAAGAATTTGTACGAAAAGGTGAGTTAAAATAACCATGTTGACAGTGGTGGAGAACTGAAAGGGAATAAGTGATGACAGTTACTACTTAATACTGTGTTACAAATTTAGTTGAACACAAAAACGTATGCATTTTCACAGAATTAACTGATTTACACTATGCCATTAACGCACCAACATAACAGTTATCTTACGGATCCTAATCCCGAAGACTGTGTAATCATACATAATCTTAGACTAACTCAGTGATTTCATAGATAAGTGCAATGCCTACGTGTTGCTAAGTTCAGCTTTAAAATCCTCACTTTCGCTAACTAGTTTAACGTAACAAGCTAATCAGCAGCCGAGTATGTGTAACACGTAATTATATTACACGAGGACTTATAATTGCTCTACCACCTATATCTTACATTTCGTAATAAGTGTTGTTGAATGGTTCCATCTTGACAGTAGCAGTTAGTTTGACGTAATAATCGAGCTTGCCTATCACAACATGGTTTTACAATAGTCAGAGTAATAAAGATATGTTCATTTTATATCTAAAAACCTTGCATCTGTATATCGATTTATTTTCAAATCACTCATTTTTAAAATTTATTTCTACCATACTTGGTGGTAACAGCCTAAAGCATTTTTTGGGTTACTGCTGGTCTAAACTCTGGATAAAAAAGGCTTGGGTATGAAGTTAGCGACTCCATCCCGTAAAATGAAACCTTGGTAAAAAAAAGTACCAACCGGAACAAATCATTCCAGCCTCTTAAACTTAGACATGAGAGTTGAAGGGTCCACATTTAGGAAAGTTATGATGCTTCATGGTGAAAACCAAGATTTTTCAGAAATCACGAAGGTAATACTCCTTCTGACAACAAGAGCAAAAATTAATGCAAGCATACAAAATGTCAGGACAATGTATAAAACCGGACCATTCAAATAGCTAAGGAGACTATGAGATACAACCTAGCTCTGCTTCAAATAAGTGAAGACCATTAGATACAATTTGGACAGAAAAGTTAAATTCCGGCAGAGGTGTTTTATATCCTGGTCATAAAGGAGGAAATGACACACTTCACACACACAAGGGGTTGCGATAACACCGTCCAGAAAAGCACGAAAAACTTTTATACGATGAGAACATTATGACTCCAGAGAATTCAAGACAGATTTCAGTAACAAGTCTTACAAGATCTAATGGAAGAGACAACCACATCAACATCCTAAAGGGTCTTGGGCCCCCAGAAACATCAATGTTAAGAACAGTAATCTAAACAAGACTCAAGAAAGAAAAACAGGAGGACATCAGTCAACAACACAGAAACAGGATCATAAAAATCAGACTTGTTAAATCAACATAACTGTATACTCGTTTTAGAATGAGTATGTGACTGTCAAATGCATTAATCCAACTCTCTCGGCTAACTTGTACCCAGTTGTCTGATTGATTCAAATATCAGTCAGTCAGCAACAACGTAGAACTTAGTACGTACGTACATCAGTTCGAGTTGCCATACCACATAAAAACACAGAGATGCAGTTGTCGATTCAAATCCCATAGTGGTAGAAGTAGTAAGAGTATAAGCAGTAATCCGAAAGATTATGGTTTGAAGATGTTATTCAAGGAGTACAATCCAGTGAAATAAATTTGTAAAGAGAAGTAAGAAAGATTAGAATTTGGCAGAGCACAAAGAGTGGATGCGCCTTCTCTATTGCAAACGATTTTGAACCATATCATTCAAGGTCTCTAACCATCGGTCGCTATCATCTCGCGAATCCCAACCAGGTAGTCTACACCTACCAACATGGTTCAGTCCACTTGTCAGTGTCTCCATGTATTTGTGCCACTTTTGGTCTGACCGCCCCTAACTTTCTTCCAACCTACTCCTACACCATGAAACATTGCACGTCGGGGCAGTCAGTGGTTGGGCATACGTAACACGTGTTCCAGCCATCTCAACTGGTGAAGTTTCACTACTTCATCAATCGATTTGCCATCCTTACCTAGTACCCGTTTCCTAACAACTACATTACTTACTCGGTGGTTCCAGGATATACGAGCGATGGTTCGAAGGTACCTATTATCGAATACTAGTAGCCTGTGAATATCCTCTACTCTTACCGGCCATGTTTCACTGCTATACAGTACTACGGAATGAACTGCTGCGCAGTAAACCCGTCCTTTTGTTGCTAGACGGACATCTCGCCTACCCCATAAGTGAGGCTAGTTGGCGAAAGTCAGACGAGCCCTCTGTACCCATGCTGAGATTTCGTCAAATACCAGACCACAAGGGCTGATGAGACACTCTCAAGATAAGTGAAGTGGTCAACCCGCTCAACTACTTCTCTCCCTATCATTAGTTCAGGTGCCGATGCAACCCAATCCTGAAGTAACATTTTGCATTTCGAGGGAGAGAATCGCATCCCGAACATGCCTGCATAGTTGCTTATAGTGGTCAGATGACTGCATTTTGTCAGCGTCTTCACCAAATAGAACTATGTCATCGGCGTATTCTAAGTCAACAAGTGAGTCTCCCAGTAAAAGTTCAACTCCTGGGGATTGAGATGATGAAAGCGTTATTTCTAATAGCACGTCAGCGACAAGGTTAAGCAAGAATGGATAGTGGACAGCCAAGACGAACACCGCTTGAGGTAATCAATTCTGATGACAGTTCGCCATAAGCTCTAACTTAACCAGTTGTGTTCGAGTAGAGAGCCTCTATAAGGTAAATGTATTTCTTTGGTACTCCTTTCAGTGACAAACACTGCCATAGAACCTCACGATCAACAGAGTCAAATGCCGCCTTAAGGTCGAGAAATACTACTATTATGGGACGTCTGAATGTGTGTCTGTGTTCTAGGACCTGACGTAGGGTGAATATCTGGTCTATACAACCACGTCCAGGTCGAAAATCAGCCTGGTTTTTTCTAGTCTGCTCTTTACAAGCTTTGGTTAGGCGTCCAAGTATTATTGAAGCTAATATTTTAGACACAAAATTAGTCAAACTGATTCCTCTGATTGTTACAGGAGGACTTTTGTACTTTCTTATAGACTGGCACAATTAGTGATTGGAACCAG